AGGAATCTGCCCCCTTGTTTGTTTCCACAGAAACTTAAGAGAGAGAAACACATGCAACTCTAGCATGTAAAGCCCCCACTATCCCATCCCTCGGCACAAAATTCATACCCCCCAATTCTCACCACCCCCTACCCTCTACCGTTTCATCTTTTCACTTTACACTCCATCAGGCACTTGCCGTCGTGCCAAACCAATCCTCGCTATTGGTTTAACTTCCCACCATGTCTACTAGCAACCAACTGCACAATCCTCCCATTATCAAATCTTCTTCCCCAAACCCTAAACCCTGTCGGTCACCTCTATCTGTTTCCCCAAATCTCCCACTCCCCCCTCAATCTCACTCTCCCCCTGCATCCCCAAACTCATCAAACCTATCCACTATTCTATGTTCAAGCATTTCCTTCAGCTTCTCTGCCAGCTCCTCAATCCCCCCAGTCTTCAAAGGGATTGTCTACAAAGAGACCATTTATCTTTTATACATGGAGGCCACAATCATTTCCACTTATTAGATGTTAAATTGGATGGCTTGGAGTGAGTCACAAAATCCGAGAATTTTTTTTTTTGGAACTTTGCGTTTATTCAAGGACACTCTTACAACCACCCATTTTGAAATTTAAGGGACAAGAATGATTGTGACCTCCATGTACAAAAGATAAATGGTCTCTTTGTAAGCAACCCTTTCTTCAAATTACCTTTCTAATCACCCTTAAATCTCCTCTGACCTCATAAGACTATTCCCTGAGGACACTCTCCAACTAGTTGTTTGACTTCCGCTCCTCCCAATAAATTGCTATGGGAAACCGAGGTGGCCACTTCGTCAGCACATGGTGTACACGGACAAAGTCGAATGCTTGGAGAAAGCTGAGAGCTCAGGAGATATCGAGCAAGTTTTATAAGCAGCGGTCTTTTCTTTCAAAGGACCAATGGAGAAAATCGCCCAAGCAATCAAGAAACACCAAAAAAAAGAGGTACAGTTAAGTGAAAAGGCGACAAAAAAGCTCAAGGGACTCTCTTTTAACATCTCTTATGAGAAGGCCTTAGACCCAAACCGGGCCTTCAAAGCCCCTAGCTCATCCACTGCAGATGAGCCTCTGCAAAGGCAATCTCGCAAGCACATACCGACTACCACAAATTTTGCACCATGAGGATTCTAATAGGGAACATCAGGGGCCTTGGCAACTCAACCAAGAAGAATGTTACGTTAGCTTACAACCAAAGATACCAACCCCAATTGCCTAGAACTTGTGGAAAACAAGCTGGCAGCCACCACCTTACCCCAGGTATGCCAAGCTTCAGGGAGGCGCCCTTGTCAGTGGGAGGCCAGGGAGGTATTACGCTTTCTCTAGAACCAAAGTACCATGTTTACTCAGTCTACTTCAATTGGGGTTTTTCAGCCTCAATTACTTTTTGTGGGGTAGCAGACCCCAATTAGTTGGGAAAAGGCATTGATGATGATAAGCTACTTTCTGTAGGGTGGCTAACGAAATCTAAATGAAAATTTGTAGCTGTATATGGCCCTCATAGGTCGGCGCTAAGGGTCATTTTGGAATGAATTGAATAGAGTAGCATTACAAAAGCCTATCCTAGCATGCAAGGTTGACCTTTATGTCACACAGAAGGTGTGTAAACAAGACAAACATGGATAGCAAGTACCAACATAACAGCCAGCTTGACTAGTTTTTCAGATTTTATATTCAGAAAACATTTGGTGGACCGCCCCCTTAATGGATCCGCTTTTACTTGGTCTAACCATGCAGTGAGACCAACCTTATGAAAGTTATTATATCCCAGGATTTGGAGGATCTGTATCATCAAATTCACACTTGAAACCTTCCCAAACGAATCTCAGGGCACACATAAATTATCGATGAATTGAGCTGGTGATTGGTGGCCCAAGACCCATCATATTCAAACTTTATGGTTGCAAAAAGGCCAACAATATCAGCTCATCCCTATGTGGTGGGCCCCCTTTGAAGTCCAAGCGTGGGCCGATTTTAGGCTATGGAAAAACTCAATTTGCTCAAAGAGAGATCCAAAAATTGGAAAAGTAACTCAAAGGGAAAAGTTTACAGATAGAAGCGGCTCCATCAAATCAAATCGTCCTATTGGATTCAAAGAAGGAAAGGAGGGACATCAATGACAAGGTGAAGTTTAGCATCGTGGAGGCACAAACAAATGACAGAAACTTAAAACAAGAGGAAGTACATTGGCACCAAAGATATCCCATCAAAATGGCTGAGAGAAGGAGAGGGAAACTATAGCCATCTCCATACATAACTGATTATAGAAGGGTTAATACCATTCTCCAACTTGGGAAAAGTTATACGAAGAGCCCGAGATAGTCTCCAAAGTCATAACGAGCCATTCCAAAATGTTACTCTTTACCGTGTGTCAGATAGTGCCAACGATGTCAAATATTTCCTTCCTACAACTACCAAAAGAGCAATCAGACTGGTTTGAGTAACCCTTCTTAGAAGAAGAAATCTGTAGGGTCATCTCAAACAATGGTGCTTTTCCAAAAATTTTGGAACTCTCTAGCCCCTGTTGTGTACACCCTTGCCCCTTTTTACTATCATGGCTGAGATTTTCAAGTAATCTATCACATTGGTTTACAACCAGGAATTTCTCCAAGGGTTTCCAGCAGTAGAAGGGGTCTAGACATCTCCCAACTTCAATATGCCGACAACATGCTCGTCTTCTGTGATGCAGATCCACCACAGATATATAAGTTGGGGCTCCCCCTAGGGCTGTAAGAAGTGAGTGCTGGTTTAAACTTAGAATGGAAAAGACCAAGTTGATATGGGTCAGGGTCACACACGATCAATCAAGGGAACTAGCCAGGAGGCTTGGCAGTGGTACTGACAATCTACGCACTCCCTTTGTGCAATAGCAAACCATGAAACGCCCTATGGGACACGATTTTCTTAATGTCCGAGAGGAGACTTGCTACTTGGAAAACAAGATTTCTTATCCTTCGGTGGAAGGTTCACCTTGAAAAAACAAACACTGGCAAACACGTTCATATTCCATATGCCACAATTCTGAATGCCGGCTGCAATGGCTAACCGCCTAGAAAGGCCTATGTGGGACATCTTGGGGTCCAGCACATGTGGTAGAGTCAAAACTTCCAATTGGTCAAGTGGGAACAAGTATGTATGTCAAAAAGGAAGTGAGCCTAGGCATAAGAAGGTTAAAAGAGGGAATACTGCCTTGTCGGGGAAATGCTAGTGGTGTTTTGCAGTAGAAGAGCATCACCTCTAGTGGCAAGCCATTCTCAATAGGTATGGTTTGCAAGATTCAAGATGCACACCAAGGTAATATAACAATGCAAGAGCATCAGGGACATGGCATTCTCTTGACGCACTGATCTCTAAGCAAATATCAGATACAGAGTGTGAAGGGGAAATAGAACAAGCATGTTGAAAGCTCTGCAGTTAGGAACTCAACTCCAGAGTCCCTCTACCCAAGATTATACTTGGTGACATTAGACCAGGGAGCCACAGTTGCTCAATCTGATGAAATCAGGGGTGACAATTAGTTTTGACCCCTAAATTCAGGAGAAATCTTAGAGATGAACGTGTCTGCACTATTGGGGACCCTAAACTCCATATTATTCTTGGCTGCAATATTGCAGATTCTGAACTCCATATTATCCCTTGTATAGGCAGAGATAGGTTGACATGGTCGGCTCTCCAAAAGGTATCTTCACTTCAGCTTCATTCTATGCCTCACTAAACCGCCTCTAAATGGTCCAGCAAAGCTTCGATTTCTCCACTACTGCCATAGGTGCAGTCGTGTTGACTTTTAATTAGACAATTCCCTCCACTATACCCAAAAGGTATGCCATGTCCAAGGCTGAGAGCAAACCATTCACCACCTTTTCTTGCACTGAAGAGAATCCAAAAAGATGCGGTCCTCATCACAAACAATTTGGTTGGTTTTGGGTCACGCCAAGGTTGGCCGCACAACTCTGGCTTTTCTACCCTCTCCCTATCTTGCAGTAGACCTCTTCATACAGTGGGCAGCATATTTGTATAGATACTAGATGAAACTTCAGGAGCTACAAAGCCAGATTGGATAAAATGACAAATCCGAGTGGGGCCAAGGTGACTTTTGGGCCAATAATCAGATTGTTCTCCCAATTTTTCTGTTTTTTATCCAACCGCTTAGACTGCTACTGGCACCTGATTTGAACAGGTGCATCCCCTTATTCATTTGCCCCTCTGATTCAAGTTTCGAAACATCAATACCCACTAAAAGCCAATAAATGACTCAAGGTCTCCATGTAAGCAATCCCTAATAAGACCACCTAGCACTACCAACCAGACTTTCAGGGAACTACCATCCGAATTTGAGCATTTAGTCTCCCTTCAACAGATTACCCTACCTCTCATTGTGTTCGTGCATAGGTTTTCCGTAGCTAACGATCAAATTCCATTATTTGAGCAAGTCGTCTATCCTAAAGCTGTATAAATCTCTTGTATCAGTATCAATAAAAAATGAGGGTCCCCAATCTGCACACCCCTCTCGTATAGATACCGTTAATGATATTATGTTTCTTCAGTTTTGATACTTCCTTTCTATGTGACCCATAAAAATATCATAGAAACAGGGCAGTAGTACAATAATCCAATAGGGATGTCCTATCTCCAAGTGAAGTAGATGCAATGCAAGAGAATCTGAAATAATGAAATGCCTTTCTTTGTGACACAACCATAGAATCTGAAAAGTTACCCAAAAGATACTTTAAGAAAAACACCAAAATTAGTTAGTCCTCACTACATGGTTCCCCATCATTCTAAATCCCAACCAAAAGCCTAACACACAGCGGCAGAGAAGAGGCAAACAGATACATAATTCACAAAACTGCAAAATCAAGAGTATGAAAAATCATCTAGTCGACAGTGCACTAAAAACATTTAAAACTCCACCAAATCAGAGATAAGCTATACGAATTTCTCCCTTGTTTGGGGGCCTGAGGAAGAGATGCAAACATATACCTGGAAACCCAATATCGCAAAAATTCGTAACAGGTTTGGGAACATCACGACCGTCTACTGTAATTTGGCGCCTTTGACGATATGCTTCGACCTCCTCTTCAGTCATGGAGGCCACAGCTTCCGATTCCACATAAAAATTCTTCTCAAAATGTGTTAAACCATCAAAGTCTTGCTTAGGAAGAGAGATGTTATCAAAATCTTTCGACTTTTGCCCATTGTAGCCCCCACCCTCACCTCTGCCTCCAAACCCATCACTGAGAAAATGGAAACCAAACAAACCCAACTGAGACTAATGTCTGAGACTAATTCAGAGGGGTTTACTGAGACTATTGCAAAACGAAAAAACCGTGGTGCCCATCAAGCCAGGAAGAGGAAAATGAAACCAGCCATGGGAAGAACACTGGAAGTGTCGCCCAATTCATTACTGAAATAAGAGAAACCCAACAGAACCGATTCACAGTATTGTAGAGTGAAAAGCAAAAAAATATCCAACAAGAATCCCTTCCCATCTACACTAATCAATTGATAACAAAAGCACAAACACGACAGAGAGAGAGAGAGGGAAATGCTTACCTTCGCCTGTCGCGGTACGAACTGGGGTCGGCCGAGCGGCTATCGTAGCGGCTCATTCTCTCTCTACAACACCACTCCTGCTTTGCTTCTATTACAGAGCATGGAAAAGAGAGGGAAGACAATAGTGAGAAGCGGAGCTCGCTCTGCGTGTAGTTTTAGAGAGAGAAAGCAAGAAGCCAGAACAAGAGAGATAAATCAGCGAAAAGTAAAAGAAGAGGAAGAAGCCGAAACAAGACACGAGTCGAGTTGGGAGCTTGCACCCTAGTAGAAACGATTTGGTGACGGGCGACTCTCCAATCC